TTGTTACTCAGGGACAGACACAGAATTGTTACTGAGGGACACAGAATTGTTACTGAGGGACACAGAATTGTTACTCAGGGACATAGAATTGTTACTCAGGGACACAGAATTGTTACTCAGGGACACAGAATTGTTACTCAGGGGACAGACAACAGAATTGTTACTGAGGGACACAGAATTGTTACTGAGGGACACAGAATTGTTACTCAGGGACAGACACAGAATTGTTACTGAGGGACACAGAAATTGTTACTCAGGGACAGGCACAGAATTGTTACTGAGGAGACACAGAATTGTTTACTGAGGGGGACATAGAATTGTTACTGAGGGACATAGAATTGTTACTCAGGGACACAGAATTGTTACTGAGGGACACAGAATTGTTACTGAGGGACACAGAATTGTTACTCAGGGGACACAGAAATTGTTACTCAGGGACAGACACAGAAATTGTTACTGAGGGACACAGAATTGTTACTCAGGGACACAGAATCGTTGAATTAAAGAGTATGTCAGACAACATGCAGAGGAGTGGCAGAGGAGGCAATGTTTTAGGAGCGCGAGCAGATGTGGCAGCAGAGGAAGGGGTCGAGGCAGCACTAGTCGCAGACCAGAGGCCAGTGCTCCCGGTGTCATTCAGCGGGTCGTGTCTCCACTCGACAACCCTGCCGTTCATTGATTGGTTGGCTCGGTCGTCTTCCTCTTCCCAGGTCACCTCTGACACCTACAGCCAACGGTCGGTGGGTACGTCAGACACAACCGTTAGTTGGCATGGCCCACACGGGAGCAAAGCCCACTGAAAGCACGTGTCCTCTACCTGCCCCTGTCCTTTGGTGTTCCCTCACCAAGCGAAGTATCGCATGCTGTGGGCTCAGCCCCACTGTACAGTGAAGGAAAGAGCTAACAGAGGGCGGTCAGGAACGGGGGGAGGACATCCGCCTCTTCAGCAGCCAGGCGAAGAAGTACTGGGCGAGGAGAGTAGCTCGGTAGCCGGTCTAGAGACAGGTCTGTCTCCTGACCCACACGCAGCTGAGGGGGCTAGTAGTGAGGCGGAGACCCTAATTGATGATGATGAGGCTGATCGCACTTGGCAGCCTCGTCGTCATCAGGCTATTGCTTCCGCATCATCAGGAGAAGAGGGTGGCGCCCAGCTTGGCAGCGAGCAAAGCAGTCGGTGGGTTGCCCAGGAGGCAGCAGGGTCGCTGCAGTGTCAGTGGAGGCAAACGGGCCACGGAGTAGAGCACCAGCTCCACTGCAGCCTACCACCACGGCCAGTAAAGTAGTGGTGCCGGTGTGCACGGAGGAAGTAGCAGTCAGCCAAGTGAGGAGTAGCGGGGGCAAAAGTTTCCTACTCGGCGGTGTGGGCAATTTTTCGGTCAAGCCGCTTCCGTGGGATAGTAAACGTAGCCGTATGTCGACTATGTGGCCAGAAAGTCAAGCGTGGCCAGGGGGCCCATGTTTGGACTACAGCGTTGCGGCAGCATATGCAGCATCGCCATTTGGTGGGCTGGGAAAACCGTGATAAAGATACGGCGGTTCTGCCTGCCCCAGCCCCCGCTCCATCACCCGCCCTCCGTTACTTGCTCCGTCACCCGACGTCAATTCGCCCTCTATCAGCCAGTCAAGGCTCCAACACCCTCTGCTGGAGGGGAGTTGTCGCTCCGTTGGGCATCTTCGCTCGTTCAGATGCTCCTTCTCCTGCTACTCATCTTCACGGATTCCGTCAGCAGTCTTTCTTGGAATCGTTTCCAAGAGACAACAGTTTGCGAGCACGCACCCGACGGTGCAGAAGCTGAACGTCCTCCCTCTCCAAGTTGCTGGTGCTGCAGTCCCTCCCTTTCCAAGTGGTGGACTCAGCACCTTTCCGAGAAATGATGGCTTGTGCCGCGCCGCGGTGGAGAGTGCCAAGCCAGCATTTCTTCGCCAAAAAGGCTGCCAGTGCCAGCCCTGCATTCACATGTAGAAGAGATGGTGGGCCAGTCTTTGAGCATGTCGGTCTCTGCCAAAGTGCACGGCAGCGCCCGACGTGTGGAGCTGTAACTACGGTCAGGGACAGTAATGTCATTTACGGCCCACTGGGTGTGAACGTGGTGCCAGCACAGCCGCACCAGCAACTTGGGACAGGTCACGCCGCTTTTGCTCCAGGTTTGCCGGTCGTCCTTGGTCCGGCAAAGATGTCCGCCTTACCACCTCTTCTTCCTGCCGGGTGTCCTCAGCCGCCACCCCCGTGCCAAGTCCATTACTCCGGACCGGCATATCACATGTGCAGGGCGCAACGGTGTCACGCTGTGCTGCACCTGGTATGCTTGGCGAACGTAGTCACACAGGGGAGGAACTTCTGAGTGTAATGAACAGAGAAATCGACAGAGATGGCTGCTCCGCGCAAACTGAAAATCGGAAACCATGTTGACCGACAACGGAAAGAACATTGTGTTTGCTCTGCGTCAAGGAAGGTTGTGCCATGACGCCATGCATGGCTCACGTGTTTAATCTGGGTTGTCAAGCAGGTTCCTAAAATCCACCATCCCATGCAAGACATCCTTAAAATGTCACGTAAAACCTTTGCATGCATTTCAGCCATTCCTACACCGCAAAGCACACCCTCCTTGAGCTGCAGCGGCAGAACGGAATTCCACAAACATCGCTGATCTGCGACGTTGCAACAAGGTGGAATTAAACCCCTACACATGTTAGACCACGCCTTTACGAACAGCAAAAGGCCATCACCGATTTCCTGATGTTACAAGCGGATAAAGGTTACTCCCCTGTGTAACTTCGATGTCAACCATTGGCCGAGCTCATGCGTGACACCTGCCGCTTGCTCAGGCCCTTTGAGGAGGCCAACGCTATTCGTGAGTCGGCAGGACTATGGGCATGAACGACGTCATTCCTCTGTTGCACGTCCTGGAACAAATGCTGTTAAACAATGGCTGGTCAGGGGTGCGGTAGACGTGGCGCACAGATCTCAACGCCCACACCTGATGACCCCTGTGGGGGCAGGACAGGAAGAGAGGAGGAGGTAGAGGAGGAGGACCATTGGTGCTCAGGAATTATTGAGTGAAATGGGTGGTTTTTCCACTCAGCGGGACAGGAGTGGAGGAGCAGGAGCATCTGGTAGAGGAGGAGGAGGAGACAGAGGACCCAGACGCACCGTGTCAGTATGCTGTGGAGATGGAGGCAGGGGCAGTCCCTCGCATTCCTTGGCACAAATGGCCCATAGCATGCTCGGTTGCTTGCGTAGCGACAGCCCGAATAATAACCATCAGACAGAGGGATGACTTTTGGCTGTCCACCTTGTTGGACCCTCGCTAACCGTTTTCAAAAAATGGTGGCCTTTTTCACCACCTGCTGGGAGAGGGAGGCCAAAATAACGTACTATAAAAACCACCTATGTAGTCAGTTGGTCTCTGCCTTTCTGCGCTAACGGCCATCCTCAGACACTGTGGGCCCTGTGCGCTCGCGTTCCGCTGCCATGGCAGCAGGGGAGGGGTGGGGTGGTAGGAGCAGTGGCAGCTCCACCAGCAGCGGGGCTGCCACAGTCTGCAGTCGATGATGAGTAGCTTTCTTCACCAGCGCAGTGAGGGAAACTACTCTAACCAGACGCCGCAGCAGCAGCAGCATCAGGTGGACCTGGAGCAGGACCTCAAAACAACAGGCTTGGGCCTACTTGGACAGCAGACACCTGCCAACCGAGTAGACAATCCCCTTGACTACTGGGCAACGAAACTTGACCTTTGGTCCCAACTAGCTGAATTTGCCCTTGAAAGGCTGTCATGATCCCGGCCAGTAGCGTGGCATCGGGAGTGCGCCGTTGTTTAGTGCGGGCAGGAGGTATTGTAACTTCGCGGAGGACACAAACTGTCCACCCAAAGTGTGGAGAGACTCACGTTTGTGAAAATGAATCAGGCGTGGATTAGTCTGGATTTCAAACCACCAGTTCCTGACACAACTGGGACTAAATCCGCATGAATCATGCCCCATAACATGTGCCACTTTCAGGTCTCCTCACACTGCTGGTGTGTTCCATTTTGTCATAGGGTGCTGGCAGATTACGGGCCTCCCATTGCTGCTGCCAGGCCCGTAATCTGCCATGGGCCCCCGTACGCCTCCTCATGCTGCTGCCAGGTCCACAGTGTCTCATGGGTCCCTGTACAGCCTCCCATTGCTGCCGTCTCCATCGCCACACTCTGCCATGTGCCACTTTTCAGGTCTCCTCACACTGCTGGTGGGTCCCCTTTTTGTCATAGGGTTCTGGCAGATTACGGGCCTCCCATTGCTGCTGCCAGGCCCGTAATCTGCCATGGGCCCCTGTACCGCCTCCTCATGCTGCTGCCAGGAGTCCAGAGTGTCTTATGGGTCCCTGTACGGCCTCCCATTGCTGCTGTCTCCATCGCCACCACTCTGCCATGTGCCACTTTCAGGTCTCCTCACACTGCTGGTGCTGTCCACATTTGTGTCATAGGGTGCTGGCAGCCCCCCCCATTACGGGCCTCCCATTGCTGCTGCCAGGCCGTAACCTCTGCCATGGGCCCCCGTACCGCCTCCTCATGGCTGCTTGCCCAGGTCCACAGTGGTCTCATGGGTCCCTGTACGGCCTCCCATTGCTGCTGTCTCCATCGCCACACTCTGCCATGTGCCACTTTTCAGGTCTCCTCACATGCTGGTGGGTTCCATTTTGTCATAGGGTGCTGGCAGATTACGGGCCTCCCATTGCTGCTGCCAGGCCCGTAATCTGCCATGGGCCCCTGTACCGAACCTCCTCATGCTGCTGCCAGGTCCACAGCGTCTTCATGGGTCCCTGTACGGCCTCCCATTGCTGCTGTCTCCATCGCCACACTCTGCCATGTGCCACTTTCAGGTCTCCTCACACTGCTGGTGCTGTCCATTTTGTCATAGGTTGCTGGCAGATTACGGGCCTCCCATTGCTGCTGCCAGGCCCGTAATCTGCCATGGGCCCCCGTAACCGCCTCCTCATGCTGCTGCCAGGTCCAGAGTCTCTCATGGGTCCCTGTACGGCCTCCCATTGCTGCTGTCTCCATCGCCACACTCTGCCATGTGCCACTTTCAGGTTCCTCACACTGCTGGGTGTGTTCCATTTTTTCATAGGGTGCTGGCAGATTACGGGCCTCCCATTGCTGCTGCCAGGCCCGTAATCTGCCATGGGCCCCCCATACCGACTCCTCATGCTGTGACGTTGCAACAAGGTGGAATTCAACCCTACATATGTTAGACCGCCTTTACGAACAGCGAAAGGCCATCACCGATTTCCTGATGTTACAAGCGGATAAGGTACTCCCCTGTGTAACTTAGATGTCAGCCATTGGCAGCTCATGCGTGACACCTGCCGCTTGCTCAGGCCCTTTGAGGAGGCCACGCTATTCGTGAGTCGGCAGGACTATGGGATGAACGACGTCATTCCTCTGTTGCACGTCCTGGAACAAATGCTGTTAACAATGGCTGGTCAGGGTGCGGTAGACGTGGCGCACAGATCTCAACGCCACATGACCCCTGTGGAGGCAGGACAGGAAGAAGAGGAGGAGGTAGAGGAGGACATTGGTGCTCAGGAATTATTGAGTGAAATGGGTGGTTTTTCCACTCAGCGGACAGGAGTGGAGGAGCAGGAGCATCTGGTAGAGGAGGAGGAGGAGGAGAGGACAGAGGACCCAGACGCACCGTGGCAGTATGCTGTGGAGATGGAGGCAGGGGAGTCCCTCGCATTCCTTGGCACAAATGGCCCATAGCATGCTCGTTTGCTTGCGTAGCGACAGCCTGAATAATAACTATCAGACAGAGGGATGACTTTTGGCTGTCCACCTTGTTGGACCCTCGCTACCGTTCAAAAATGGTGGCCTTTTTCACACCTGCTGAGAGGGAGGCCAAAATAACGTACTATAAAAACCACCTATGTAGTCAGTTGGTCTCTGCCTTTCTGCGCAACGTCCATCCTCAGACACTGTGGGCCCTGTGCGCTCGCGTTCCGCTGCACATGGCAGCAGGGGAGGGGTGGGGTGGTAGGAGCAAGTGGCAGCTCCACCAGCAGCGGCTGCCTCAGTCTGCAGTCGATGATGAGTAGCTTTCTTCACCAGCGCAGTGAGGAAACTACTAACCAGCCGCAGCAGCAGCAGCATCAGGTGGATCTGGGCAGGACCTCAAACAACAGGCTTGGGCCCTACTTGGACAGCACCCTGCCAACCGAGGTAGACAATCCCATGACTACTGGGCAACGAAACTTGACCTTTGGCCCCAACTAGCTGAATTTGCCCTTGAAAGGCTGTCATGCCCGGCCAGTAGCGTGGCATTGGAGCGCGTGTTTTTAGTGCGGCAGAAGGTATTGTAACTCCGCGGAGGACACGACTGTCCACCAAAGTGTGGAGAGACTCACGTTTGTGAAAATGAATCAGGCGTGGATTAGTCTGGATTTCAAACCACCAGTTCCTGACACAACTGACTAAATCCGCCATTGAATCATGCCCCAAACATGTGCCACGTTTCAGGTCTCCTCACACTGCTGGTGTGTTCCATTTTGTCATAGGGTGCTGCGCAGATTACGGGCCTCCCATTGCTGCTGCCAGGCCCGTAATCTGCCATGGGCCCCTGTACCGCCTCCTCATGCTGCTGCCAGGTCCAGAGTGTGTATGGGTCCTGTACCTTCGCTCCCATTGCTGCTGTCTCACACTGCTGGTGGGATCTGCCATGTGCTGGCCACTTTCAGGTCTGCCTCACCCCGTAATGTGCTGCCAGGTTCCAGAGTGTCTCACTGTACGGCCTCCCCCATTGCTGCTGTCAATCCACTCTGGGCCATCCACTTTCTGGTCCTCCTCACAACTGCTAGGTGGGGCCCTGTACATTGCTGCTGTCTCATGCCACACTCTGCCATGTGCCACTTTCAGGTCTCCTCACACTGCTGGTGGGTTCCATTTTGTCATAGGGTGCTGTATATGGCCTCCCATTGCTGCTGCTGCCTCCACCGCACACTGTGGCTCCACACTCTGGTTTTGCCCCTAGTGACTGCCCAAATGAGTGAAGTGTGCGGTGATTCTAAGATCGACGGCACTCATCTGCATGTCATACTGACTGACAGTATTATTTCTCTTCCCCAGCAGACTCCAAGGGCATTTAAATTAAAGGTACAGTGTTCTGCACTAATATAAAGGCTCTCTGAAGCCTAGAAAACACCCTTTTATAAGTTAAATTCGCAGCGAATATATTCGCCTCAAATCAAATTTATTCCTCGAATTTGCCGAATCAGCCGAATCGAATTTTGCGAATACTTCGCTCATCTCTAGTCCTCATCTTTTGAAATTGCATTAGGATGACATGTAATGGAACTATTTTTAAGTCCGTGCATAGTACATAATATCATATGATCATTTTTAAAGGTTTCTATTTTACCTTGTATGAGTAGAATTTCTAAATTTGCTCCTCAATTGGTTTCTTGTTCCCAGTCTGTGACTCACAGGATATTGTAGACTGAAGGTCAGTAGGACAGCCAGGCACCAAATTACAAGAGGGTTTCACTCTGAATTCTTCTTTTGATTTGTATTTTGAATGGACCGGAAAATTCATTGCGTGTCTCTGCAATGATTGGAGTTGGTAGTAGACTTTGAGACCTTTTCAATGAAGTCCTGGTGAGACATTCAGAATTGGTGGGTGATCCAAGTCACTATCATCAACCCAACACATGAATTATTATAATACAGGATTTATACAGTATTGCACCAACAGTTTGCACAGTGCTTTATTAAGGTGAGCTATTTAAGGTATAGTTAAAGCCATAACTTTTCAAAAAAGTTTTGGATAGATAAGGGAATGATTAAAACTCGTGTTGAGTTTGTTTTTTCCTGCTTGGGCTTCATTGAGGAGATTTCTCTATTGCTTTACCTGTGCTGTCAGAAATAGAATAGGAATCTGTAAATTGAGAGAATTTCTGTAAAGAGAGGGGAAACATTCTTTTTGTCAGCTGACACCAAAACAGGTGTCTACTTTGGAGATGTCCACTCTAATCCTATATAAAGTTTAGATGTTCCATTATTTTTGTGATGTTAACAGCTATTAACCAGGACAAACAGAGAGAGTAAATCTCCCCAGCGAGGCTCAAATGGTAATAAAAGCTTAACAGTTGTTTCAACACTAACAAAAACAGTAAAAATAAGGGTTTGCTTTAGATGCAATTTAACATGGACACAAGCATGTTTTCTCTATTTATGCTCATTTCTTTTGAAAAAACAAACCAAAAAATAGTAGAGACTTGTGAGAAAAACAGCAAAACAAGACAGCATAGACAGAGTCACTGGCGTTGAATGTTTGCTTTGTTCATTTCATACAATTAATACTGTACTAATAATGTAACTAGTAAATCTTTTATAAAAACTATGTTATATTTATCTGCTCTGTGCAGTGATATTGCAAAGAACAGTCCTTTACCTCTTCTTTGGCATTCCCCTGCTAGCGCTATCTGCTGCTTCCTGATCCAGGTGCCTCTTTAGCAAACCAGAAGCTAAGGGGGCACCCTTACATGAGCGCTCTGGAGTTAGGCTGTGTCCATCCATAGACACACACAGCACTGGTAAGGCATGCCCCATTCTCTAATTTGCAGTCAGGACAGCACTGGAGTAGTGAGAAAAGTCAGGTAACTGTTTAGGGATGGGGAGGTAGCACAGTCAGTTAGGCATTTTTTTTTCCTTACCTTAATGCAGGGAGTGCATTAACCTCGCTGGCGGTATTCCCGAGTGTAGCTTGGGATAAAGTTTCAGTACCAAAAATGGTAACCCCGAGCTACACTCGGGCTTACCATGCGGCGCTGCTCCGCAATCCCTTGATCACTTACCTTGTTCTGCACTCCCGCGATGTCCCTCCTGCAGTGTCCCCGGCATCTGTCATCTGGGTTCCGTCCCCTGCGAGCATCGAGACGTACGGGGGACGGAACGGCGGGAAATTTGAAAATGACAAAAAGTGACATTCACTAAAATCACATAGTAAAACATTACTGTATCAAAGCATTTCACATACATTTTGTGCCGAGTGCTTTGTCCTGTGCCCTGCCTGCATTTTAACTGTTCTTTCTGCCTGGAAACTGAGAAACGTCCATGGCGTCCAAAAAGCTTCCCTTTAGGTCAAAAGTGGTTTTAGACCAGCTAGAGAACAGCGATAGTAAATCAGAACCACTTGCAGAATTGAGTGATAATGATTCGTGGAGAAATTTGTCATCAGACACTGAAAATGATTTTGCGACTTTGCTCAGTGATGTGCGAACTTGTCGCTATATTTCAAATTTCAGTGTTTTTGGTTTGATTATATTATTGAATTAAATTTATTATTATTATATTATTATTTTTTATGATTATTTATTAAATTATAATTTATGATTTCATGTTTCAAGTTTGATCCTACCCGGGATGTTTACTAGACTCTTGTTTGGACAGATTTCAGTGAGTTATTCCTAAAAATTACAGGCCTACAATAAAAAAAATACATATTTCCATGCAAAAAAATTTACTGCTTTGAGCACAGAAATATGGACATAATCATACCGCTAGGGAGGTTAAAGGATAAGGTCACCTTTTACCAAAAGCAGATATACACCTACATGAAGAATCAATGAACAACCATAGAGCTCAACAGCACCGTGGTAGTTCATTAAGAACTACAAGCCGACAGCTTTGTAGTTTTCCCATTCACAGAATACTGTGAATGAGTGATGCGGGTAGAGCCAAGTTTTTTTAAAATTGTGACAGCTAGTGTGGGGGGGGGGGGGGGGGGATCCAGATCGGGATGAGCGGGAGCGGGGGCCAGTCCTTTTGTAACATGTTACATGTTATTACACCCTGATTATGGGTGTAACATGTTACGAAAGGTGAACTTCCCGTTTAAGGTAAAAGGTAAAAAAAAAGTTTTAAGTTTAGAACCACTTTAAATGCACCCATAATTAGGATTAGAGCATACAATGGTAAAGCTTATTATGACATGTCTTATTAAAATTTGGTATGATTGGTTAGCACAACAACCCATATAATGACTTGAATAAAAACTGTAGCAGAAAACAGGTGTGCATGTCTGGATTTTAAAGTAAAATTGTGGACAGACTATAGAATATCAGCTGTTTACCTAATTTTAACCTATTCTTAACAGGCAGTAAATAATTTTCAAAACAAGAGCTCACTGACCTTTGTACCTGCAGACACGGAGGGCCAATTCATCATCAAAGTTCAAAAGAGATGCAGTGAAGTCATTCAAGTTTGATATCAACACTTTGCTCTCTCCATTCTTTCTATGCACCTGATCTTTGTTTATATTAGGGATTAGAAGCCTGGAAGGATGCTAAACCACTGCTGACAAGGGGAAACAGAATGAGACAAATCAATAATTATTCCTTAGTGCCTGCAGTTATGGGGGTGTGTAGAGGCTTGATTTAAAGCATTTTTACTGCTTGTTAAGAATATATGAAAGTAGAGTAGCATTGCTACAGATCTACTTTGTATCTGAGATAGTTCTCCCAATAAAATGGTTAGTTCACTTGCTTTGTATAACTTGGGGTCCTGGTTTCAATTACAAATCGGCACAATCTGTCCATGAAGATAATATATCTGTGCTGTATTCTTTTGGGTTTCCTCTAAATACTCTAGTTTACTCCTACAATGTAATGATGTGATTACATTTTTACTTATTTTGATTTACATTTTTTATTGTTGTAACCTCTTCTTTGGGTAGAGTATTGTGCATGTTTCTGTTTATTTGGTAAATCACTGCATAAGAAGTTGGTGCTTTATTAAAATGGATATTAAAGAGGTTCTTCAGTCTTTAACCGCCTCCCGCCCACCATATAAGGTAATGATGGGTGCAAGGCAGTTCTCTCGTTCTGGGAGGGCATCATATAACGTCCTCCCAATCTAACTGTGCATGTGTGGCACTGGGGGGCATGCAGCGCAGCGATCAGTGGTGCGCTGTGTTCCTCGGACACAGAAGATCACCGATCAACGGAAAGAGCTGAATATGTCGGCTCGGTCATGTGATCAGCTGTGTCCAATCACAGCTGATGGCATGTAAATAGGGAAATGCCGGTTATCGGCGTTTCTCTCCTCATGAGCTGTCACGCTGACAGCTCGTGAGGAGAGGAGAGCTGGTAATTGGCATTACTCAGAGGGGACATGTACACTGATCATCAGGGCACTGATGATCAGTGTGCCCTGATGATGATCAGTGTAGCCCCAGCAGTGCCACCTGTCAGTGTCCATCAATACCAGTTGTCAGTGCTCATCAATGCCCCCGACTGTGCCCATCAGTGCCACATCAATGCCACATATCAGTGCCTACCAGTGCACATCAATGCCACATATCTGTGCCCATCTGAGCTGCCTTTCAGTGTCACCTATCAGTGCCACCTATCAATGCCAGTCAGTGCCACCTATCAGTGCTACCAGTCAGTGCCACATATCAGTGCCAGTCAGTGCCAGCTATCAGTGCTTGTCAGTGATGCTTATCAGTGCCGCCTAACAGTGCCAGTCAGTGCCACCTAACAGTGCCAGTCAGTGCCGCCTATTAGTGCCACCTATCAGTGCCATATATGAGTGCTGCCTTTCAGTGCCCATCAGTGATGCCTATCAATGCCCATCAGTGCCACCTACCAGTTCCTCCTCATCAGTGCCACCTATCAGTGCCCATCAGTGCGGCCTAACAGTGCCTATCACTGCAGCCTCATTAGCGCAAATCAGTGAAGGAGAAAAATCACTTATTTACAAACTTTTTACAAAAACTAAGAAAAAACTTTTTTTTTTCAAAATTTTCAGTTGTTTTTGGATTGTTTAGCAAAAAATAAAAAACCCAGAGGTGACTAAATACCACCAAAAGAAAGCTCTATCTGTCTCAAAAAATTATAAAAATTTCAAATGGGTACAGTGTTGCATGACCGCGCAATTGTCATTCAAAGTGTGACAGCACTGAAAGTTGAAAATTGGCCTTGGCAGGAAGGGGGTATAAGTGCCCTGTAGGTGAGTGGTTAAAAAAACTAAAAGTCAGCAGGTACAAATACTGTAGCTGCTGACTTAAAAAAAAAGGACACTTGCCTGTCCAGGGATCCAGTGCTGCTCTCCACTGGGATGGTTCTTTACCGGTCTTTGGGGCACCGGTGCCAACATGTTTACTAAGGGAAGCAAGCCGTGATTCCTTGACAACCAGCTTTCCTCTGCTCATGCATTTCATTAATTTGTATATGAAAGAGAGGAGGGGCTGAACTTCCACTCCGATCGATCACCTAGGCCAGTGGTCTCCAAACTATGGAACGGAGGCAGGATGCAGTCCTTCGCTTGCTTTTTTCTGGCCCTAAGGGCACTATTTATCCACCGATACCAACAATGAGGCATAATTCCCCCCACTAAGACCAACTAAGGGGCACAATTCCTCCCAATGACAGCAACCCACATAGAAGAAAAATATATTTTTAAATATATTTTAAAAAATATATTTTGAAATACTACAATTTTGACCATATTCAATATATTTCAAAATATATTTCAATAAATATATATACACACATAATATATACAGTGGGGATCGAAAGTTTGGGCACCCCAGCTAAAAATTTGTTTTAATGTGCATAAAGAAGCCAAGGAAAGATGGAAAAATCTCCAAAAGGCATCAAATTACAGATTAGACATTCTTATAATATGTCAACAAAAGTTAGATTTTATTTCCATCGTTTACACTTTCAAAATAACAGAAAACAAAAAAATGGTGTCTGCAAATGTTTGGGCACCCTGCAGAATTTATAGCATGCACTGCCCCCTTTGCAAAGCTGAGACCTGCCAGTGTCATGGATTGTTCTCAATCATCATCTGGGAAGACCAGGTGATGTCAAGCTCAAAGGTTTTAAATGCCCAGACTCATCTGACCTTGCCCCAACAATCAGCACCATGGGTTCTTCTAAGCAGTTGTCTAGAAAACTGAAACTGAAAATAGTTGATGCTCACAAAGCTGGAGAAGGCTATAAGAAGATAGCAAAGCGTTTTCAGATGTCAATATCCTCTGTTCGGAATGTAATTAAGAAATGGCAGTCATCAGGAACAGTGGAAGTTAAAGCAACATCTGGAAGACCAAGAAAAATATCAGACAGAACAGCTCGCAGGATTGTGAGAAAAACAATTCAAAACCCACGTTTGACTGCACGATCCCTCCAGAAAGATCTGGCAGACACTGGAGTTGTGGTACACTATTCCACTATAAAGAGATACTTGTACAAATATGGTCTTCATGGAAGAGTCATCAGAAGAAAACCTCTCCTACGTCCTCACCACAAAAATCATCGTTTGAACTTTGCAAATAAACATATAGACAAGCCTGATGCATTTTGGAAACAAGTTCTGTAGACCGATGAGGTTAAAATTGAACTTTTTGGCCGCAATGAGCAAAGGTACGTTTGGAAAAGAAGGGGCACAGAATTTAATGAAAAGAACCTCTGTCCAACTGTTAAGCATGGGGTTGGATCAATCATGCTTTGGGGTTGTGTTGCAGCCAGTGGCACGGGAGAGTAGAAGGAAAAATGGATTCAATAAAATTTCAGCAAATTTTGGATGGTAACTTGATGCCATCTGTGAAAAAGCTGAAGTTAAAGAGAGGATGGCTTCTACAAATGGATAATGATCCTAAACACACCTCGAAATCCACGGGGGATTACATCAAGAGGCGTAAAACTGAAGGTTTTGCCATGGCCTTCACAATCTCCTGACCTCAACATAATTGAAAATCTATGGATAGACCTTAAAAGAGCAGTGCGTGACAGACAGCCCAGAAATCTCAAAGAACTGGAAGACTTTTGTAAGGAAGAATGGGCAAAGATACCTCAAACAAGAATTGAAAGACTCTTGGCTGGCTACAAAAAGCGTTTACAAGCTGTGATACTTGCCAAAGGGGGCAGTACAAGATATTAACTCTGCAGGGTGCCCAAACTTTTGCAGACGCCATTTTTTTGTTTTCGGTTATTTTGAAAGTGTAAATGATGGAAATAAAATCTAACTTTTGTTGACATATTATAAGAATGTCTAATCTGTAATTTGATGCCTTTTGGAGATTTTTCCATCTTTCCTTGGCTTCTTTATGCACATTAATACAAATTTTTAGCTGGGGTGCCCAAACTTTCGATCCCCACTGTATACACACTGTTTGTTGAAATGAATTTTTATTGCAAATAATCTGAAAGATATTTTAAAAAATAAATATATTCGTCAGATTGTTTTTAACACATAAAAAAGTAATTTTTAACATATATTTTTACATATATTTGTAAATGCATTCCAAAAATGTAGATTTGTATTTTTAAAGACCTACAGTATATTTGAAAATGTATTTTTAAATTATTTTTCATATATTTTGTAATAAAAACGCATTTCAACATACAGTATATATATATATTTATTGAAATACATTTTTAAATATATTGAATATGGCCACAATTGTAGTATTCAAATATATGTCAATATATTTGGGAAGAATATTTTTAAAATATATTTAAAATATATTTTTCTTCCATATGAGAACTATGGGGCACAATTCCTCTCAATTACACCAACGACAGGGCACAGTTCCTCCCAATGACACCAACTTTGGGGTACAATTCCTCTCAATAACACCAACAACAGGGCACAGTTCCTCCCAATGACACCAACTTTGGGGTACAATTCCTCTCAATAACACCAACAACAGGGCACAGTTCCTCCCAATGACACCAACTTTGGGGTACAATTCCTCTCAATAACACCAACGACAGGGCACAGTTCCTCCCAATGACACCAACTTTGGGGTACAATTCCTCTCAATAACACCAACAACAGGGCACAGTTCCTCCCATTGATGCAAACAATGGGTCACAATTCTTCCCACTGACACAAAAAATGTGGAGCTATGCCTCCCACTGACACCAAAGATGGGGCATTGTCTATTCTCCCTGACGTCGGGACGTTTTCTACTCCCAATGGCCACAGTTTGGCCCCCCTGAAGTCTGAAGGACAGAAAACTGGCCCTTTGTTTAGAATGTTTGGAGACCCCTGACCTAGGCGGTTGGAGCGGAAGTGGGATCGGGTACTGGCTAAAACTAAGTACTCGATCCCCAAAAAACAAATCTCCAAAAGTAGAAGAGGAGGGGGAAGGAAGTGTTAAAGTGGAGCTTCCCTATTAGAGTGAACTTCTGCTTTAAATACATAATAGTAATCACAACTTACAATAGAAATTTGGCAAGTTTGCCAAGCTCGTTGCCATGCGTAACACATATGGTTCTTTGCGTTTTTTTTAAATCACCCCTATTGCTATTTAAGTAACTTGACTTGTGTAGGATAAGAAGATTGATATAGCTATAAACATGGATTGTTGGAATATCCTCTTGAAAATAACATAGCACATACAGCAACCTTTGCACTTAAATTTATTATGTGCCAGAGTCTTCAGGAAAAAAAAAAAGCCTTTTTAGCTGCTCGCTTAATTATGCAGGATGACATGAATGTTTGCTGTGAAGTAATTGATTATCATGAATTAAGTTGCTAATGAGTAGGGCAAATCAATCTGTTCTCCTTGTTAATTATGTGTATTCATCACTTTCAGTAATGCTATAGCACTGGGCACAGCTTTTTTTCCCTTTAAACTTTATTCCTTCCACAAGAATGTCAAAAATAAAAGACATTCAAGGTATAATGTATTTGAAATTAGTGACTATTTTATACTGTGATTAATAGTTTGGCCTTTGTTCAGTTTTGGTGACACGGATTATAAAGGAGATTTAGGTGTCCTTGGGTACATGCAATAATCAATTATCATATTTGTAATCTTTTAAGTAAGAAGATTACCTTACATTTATGCATCTAGGAAAAAAAAAAAACGTTTTCTGAATGACATCTTCTACAATAATACAAGGCGTTATAATTAAAAAAGATGTAGTAAACGAGGAACTTTATATTTTTCTTAAGTAATAGTGTTAGAGCTCATAACTATGGTTTGTTTTAAACAATTATCTTACAAGATATTATTATTAGGCAATTTTGTAAATCTGTTTTTCATTTAGGCTGATCTGGTGCATTCATGGCAGTGTATCTAGAACTTAGAGAACCATCACATGCAGTACCAGGTACTACCACAAGAAGGCACTTAAGCACTGCATTTTTTTATCCTTTAGTGCTTAGCAGCAGCAAGTGCTTTGCAGATTTTTTTCACACTGAGGACTTTCATCTAGTTCTAGAGAATAATGTAAGAGGAGTGCATTAATTGTATGATTTAGCCATGTCATTAAATCACCTACAGCATTAAAATATAGTGTGACTATTCCAGGATAAAGCAGCTTAAAGTTTTTTTAAACTTGTAAACTATGAGAGCTGGCTTGTTTTAGTTGTCACGCTTTTCTTTTCATAGTTTTGCCTTTTACAGGATCTCATTACTTGGGGGAACTAAACCCTCCTATCCTTTTACAGTTTAGGAAGCAGCCATCTTAGCCTCTGTTTTAATAGTAGAAAATTTTATGAAAGTACAATGTACCATAAAATGTCAAAAATAGTGCCACAGTTCAAGTATCATAGATAAGCATAATATAGATATAGAAATGCATAGTCTGTATACATCTCATAAAAATATAATTCCAAGACAAAAGGAGCTTCCTGAGGACGCCACACGACGAAAAACATGTAGAGCAGGGGTGTCAAACCGGCGGCCAGCTGCCTCACTATTGGGAAAATGAACTGTC